TCTTCACCACGAGTAACTAACCACAGTTGCCCTCCGTTAGACAGGGGAGTGAGTGCCTCGCTGCTGTCGGATAGAGAAGGGTCTCGTCTAGAATTTTTTCAGGCACGCACTTCCTCGGGCTCAAACCAGTGAATCCTGCGTACAGAGCATGACTGAAGAAGTAGGTGGAGCCAGTCCATGGCATAGCAGGGGAAAGCCAGGGGAGCGGACCATCACGCTGACTACGCCAGCAGGGGAGGAACTACCCGTAAGATTTGGACCCTGGTGGGCATGCCAGTCTTCGGAGCCTCGAGAATGCAGTATTAGCAAGGCTCCCCCATCTAGGAAACGCAAGCACCTTAGGGTGTGAACTGCAATTTGTGCATATGAATACCCTGCAGGTCCTTGCTGACCCAATCCAGAGTGCAATCAGCACCAACCAGAAGTATTATGTAATCGCTAAGCAGTGCATGGTAGAGGCAGGGCGCAAGGGGCAACTCAAAGGGGAAGTCAAGGCAGTTCGGGTGCTGTGTAGTAGAAATGGCAAAATTCCTCCACAAGCCTTCTCCTTTTGCACTGAAATTCGCCACGTTCTAGTAGAGAATGGTGTCAAGATTGTAGGAGAGGCTGCGTGGCGGTGCTGTCGACAACTGCAAATCGTCCACCTGCCAGACACAGTAGTCGGTCTTTTGCATGGTGCCTTCAGTAAGTGTCAAGTGCTACGTGTGGTGGTCGCCCCAAGCTGCAAGTATTTCGGCACCAAGGTATTCGAAGAGTGTTGCTCCTTAACGCAGGTTGGTGCGGCACATTGCCCTAGCAATAAGCTAGCTCCCCAAGCCCAGCTAAGGCCTCGTGCCTTTCAAGCATGCACGGCGCTGCGCAACATCAACTTGGGCATGTCAGAGTCTGCTACAACGTACCCAAACCGATGTTTGCCGGACTGCTGTTTTCAAGAGTCGGGCATTGTTGAGCTGGCGTTACCTACGAGTTTCCACAGGATAGGCTTTGCTGCCTGTATGAGCTGCCAGCAGCTGCAAATCGTTGATTTGTCCCAAACAGACGTACTTGAGATTCCAGGCTCAACCTTTGCTTACTGCTCGCAGCTGCAACAACTTGCCTTCCCCGCATGCTGAGGACCATTGAGCAAGAAGCCTTTTACAAGTGTATTTCCCTGAAGGAGGTCTCTACTCCGCCATCCCTGCTTTACATTGCGAGGCATGCCTTTGCAGGCTGCACGCATCTTCGAATAATCCTCAAGCAAGGAAAAAGCAGCACATGGCGAGGGACATATGCCCAGTCTAATGCTTTTGACAAATGCGAGCACTTCGACAAGCCCACGTGGCTTCGAGTCTTGCCGAATGATGCAAACGATCTTTGGCGAGAAGACTATCTAGACCCAGCACCAAAGACCAGCAATGCTTCCGAGGCAGGAGAGGAGCAAGGGCGACGTGGGTAGTGAGCTGAGCCAAGTGTCAGTATTCGAGCGCTAGGAAAGGATGATTTCCAGGCATATACGGCAAGAAAAATGCGCAGACACCAAGTAGAACCATGACCTCTTCTCGCCATTCGCTGCGTAGTGAGCCGATAGGAGCGAGAACCTTAGTTCTGCGTTCCTAAACGGCGGGTGGTAGATAGTGGCAATGAAGGATGCCCAGGGGGAACCTTAGTTCCCGCTGTTGATGTCCGACATTTCCAATTTTGTACAAAGAGGTACAGATATCATGCTAGGAGAGCTCAAAGTTTCACATGTTTCACACGGGCCTTGCACGCAGCAGATCACTTTTTGCAATTACGCAGCGCCTCACTGACTCAAGAGACATCCCCTATTGGCACCGGTGCGTGCCGAAGGGTGCTGGGTTTGCCTCCCCTCGGGGAGGTTGTGCCCGGTTCACCCTTAGCTGCAGGCTTCTCTCGCTAGGAATTGCCGCCACGGTTTGGCTTTTGTCGGGCAGCATGTGACTGGCCTTGTATGCGCCACCAGTTGAACGGGTTGTGCTGCAAGAATGGTCTTTTCCACGGATTGCTGCTCAGATCTTGTCACTCTTGGTCGACCTGATTACAACCAGCGCTGGAGCATCGCGAGACACCTGACCTGCAAAGTGACCTTGTTTTGCCACACTGTGGTGTGGCCACTGGTCACCAATACTCGGTAAGGAAAGTCCGTTTGAAGCCTCCTAGGCGGCTTTCCATGAACACAGCTTGCGCTGCCGTCCTTTTCTTTTGAGAATTCAGGCCCATTAATTGCCACTAGTCTCTGTTTCACACGTTTCACCCAGTGTAGAGGAAAGACTACAAGATGGTGGAGTTTCGGCCTGCGGGCTTGGGTGTTTGGTTTGGGTTGGTTTTGGGGTCTTTGTTCCTTTCTCCACCATCTGTCTGTTCTTCCCTTCCTTCAACGATGACCTGGGCACCATGCCCACACGGCGTCCGTACTCGTGGAAAAAAAACAACAGTGTCTTTTCAAAACCCCTCCTTCACAACATGCATCAAAGAACGACGTCAAATAAAACGAAACAAGGTTTCCTTGCCATAGTGAACGACCAGAGATGGCTTCTGCAAACATGACAGGCTCCACGGCGCCAAATCTTCGCTTAACCTCGCCACTCTTTCCTCTCATCCAAAATTAACACTCTGCCACTGCTTGCACTTTATCAGGGTGTCTGAAATATCCCAAAAAATGTCCCCGAATGAGAACTCCAAAAGTGAAAAAGGTACATGAGTCTGAAAAACTCTTGCAAACACTTTCAGCAGCAAGCCGAGAAACGCATGTCACGACAAATGTCTATGCCAAATTGGCTTTGAGATCCAGCGGCCAGAGACTGATTCCTTGATCAATCCAGCAGAGTGTGTGCCGAGACGGAAGCCAGGGCTGCAGAGACTAGCATGCTCTCTTCCGGGGATGGCCATGAGAGATCCGTTGAGGCTACCAGGAAGTTTCCTGCCTCCTTTTGCAATGACTGTGGCGGTGACAAACCAGACATTGTTCCAGGGGCATCTAGTCGCAGAGATTATTGGATTGGCCTGTGTTTTGATGTATGTTTATGTATGTTTTCTTTTGGGGCACACGATCCAGGGACATGTGTGTCGGCATCCTTCGTTGCTGCCAGGTAAGCGCGGAGGGAGTGCCATTGCGTTTGCCAGCTGTCCCCGGCAAAAGTTGAGCCGCCAAGTGCTGCCCAAAGTATTTTACAGCATTGTTTTGTTATGTTTTGCTTCATGTTTCTTCAATGGATATCATGGAAAACTTATTCTTAGGGTCATCAGGAACAGAAAGACCCTATAAACTTTTTCTGCAACCCAAATGTATTTCCCGTCCAATATTTCCAATAGCGTTGGACATCTGGGTTTATATGTTTTGGAGGCATTTTTATTCAGTAGGACCCCCAGATCAGACAGACTTCACGAATAATTTTGCACACTAGGTTGCACGGGACTGCGAAGCATTCCTGAAGAAAGAGGGTCTCCTAAAGCGTGAGCTTCCTGAGCACACTTCTTGGACCCAAGCAGATGGCCTGGGCGAGGAAGGTTTGGACGCACATATTCGCTTGCCTTACACAGAGTCTTGTAAGTATATTTTTGTAGGTTTTTTTTTTGTTTTCTTGGCGTGTGATGTGACTTGCGTGCTACAAGCTGCCATTCCAGAAGCAGCGCCTTTGCTTCGGAGTTATGTAGCTACACACCTTGGGCCACGTGGCAACGAGCAGAGCTTGAAGGTCAAATTGGGCAACTACATTACTGAGAACCTAGTTCCTTGAAGTGTTTGTGCATGTTGTGTTGAAATGTTTTGTGTGTTTGTTTGCGCATGTTACTGCGTTTGATTGTGTTTGTCTTTTCACTCTTAATTTTTTCTACGTCCCGAAGCCTGCTGTCACAGGCTATATGTATCCAAGCTGTGCTTCGAGTCAAGCCGATTCAAGTTCTCATCGAGCAACCCACATCAAGCAGCATGTTCAGTTTGCCAGTTTGGGAGACTCTTACGAGCCAGCTTTCCCTCAGCCAGGTCCCAACTTACCTGGGGTCCTTTGGTCACTTTATGCTAAAGCCTTCGGTGCTTCTGACGAACGTGTACAAGACGACACTGTTTTCTGGCCTCCATTGATGTTATCTAAGGCTATCGAATTGGTTTCATTCAGGAAAGAGTGACAACAATATGATAAGGTCTTGATGTTTTTGGATGTTTTTGGGTATGTTTTTGTATTTTTGGATAGCATTGGTTGGGGCCTTGCAGAACATCTGACCTGCCTGATCTTGCTAGGCTCCACTGGCAGCTGAACAAAAAGCAGTTGGCAAAGCTCAAAGTGAAAGTCCAGGCAAACAAGGAAAAGGTTGAGAAGAAGTTAGGTCGCAAGTTGAGGCTGATCAGCAAATGCAAGGGTGGTGTATGCGGAGGCCCTGATCTCCCCATGAGCGCAGCGTACACTGCGGCTTTTTGCGCCGCTGTTTGCGCCGCTGTTTTCAACTCTTGGATCCAAGGGTGGGTTTGTTTGGCAAAGCCGAACTGACCCATTCCATACCAATAGGCTTCAATTCATGTCGGTACGCAACTGTGCCTGATGATGTTGAGTTTGTGTTTTGGAACGTTCGGGATGCTTAGGCTTTCGGCGTCAACCTTCTGAAATGGAACAGGTTTCGGATGGTTTGGCATGTTTCGGCATGTCTCCGTTTCGGCGTCTTCTGAGTATCCCCCAGGATAATCCAATGGGGATATTCTTGGATTTCAATCCTGAAATGTGTCTGGTGACGGTTCTGCGAGTCACGCATGTGGACCACGATGGAAAAGGCTGGCATAGATGTACAGTATATATAATCAAATATTTTTTTGGGAGCGTGGTTTGATGCAGAATACTCCAAGAATAATATGGTGTGATTCTTGTTTGGGGGGGAAGAGAGAACAATGTGGGCAAATCACATCCTTCCAATATTTATCCTTGGGGTGTGGGACTTGCGTCACACCAGCTGAATATTTTTTGCACCATTCTCTACCACACTTAGCTTCAGATATCTTGAGACAATGCTTACCAATGCTTGCGGAGGCTAGATCCAGCAGAAAGAATCTTCCAGAGCAGAGAGCTGACTTCAAGAACTTGGCGAAGCAGGCTTTTCGAGATGCAACTACCTTCGCTTCAGCTTGCTCCGTTGGCCTATCCCCGGAGGCCATCAAGGCAGGGGTGGAAGATTGGTTCCATACCGAGGGCAAGCAGCTTTTGCTTGCAAACGGTGTGCTCCCAGAGGAGGTCGACGATCCAGAGGATGATGCTGAGATGGAGGTTTGGCTGTTTCATGTGGCTTCATTCATTTTCATTTATGTTTACATCCACACCCATGCACAGCAATCCCGAAAAACACAGAACACGCCAGAGCCATCTACAGTAAAACAAACTTAAAGATTACCTTTTAAAAAAGAACCTTGTATATATAGTCATTGATTGGCTCTATTTTGTCGGGCAGGCCGATGATGTCATTGATGATGAAACGGACGATCTCCAAGAAGCAGTTTGCGAAGCGAATCGAAGCGACCGAGACAAACATGCTATTGAAGGATGAGATGGAGGTTGCTCAGGAAGAGTTCATGGCAGCTGCTGAGGATGTAGAGATGGATGACATCGCCCCCGACCATGGCAGCGAGAGTGAGCAGGAAGCAGCCAGCCCAGTCGCTAAGAGGGAAAAGAAGGGACCCATCCCAAAGACTTTGAGTGACGTTCTACATACAAGTGGACTGCTGGATTTCCAGCCACCAGACGATGACAATGAAGCCCAGATGCTTGCTCGAATCCATGCACTGGGCAAGCCCATGCGGGCTTTCAGCTCCTACACCAGATGTTCCGAAGGCATACTCTCCAAAGCTTCAGTGCTAGGACACGGACCCAAGCCCCGTGAGCAATGGCAGCTGGAGAAGGAGTTGGCAAGGGCTCGCGCGGAATTCACCTGCTCTGCGCAGAGGCAGTCTCGCCACAGCTTGTGGGCAGAGTATTCGGAAAGAGTCTTGAAAATCGTTTCTCAATTGGCAGAGGAAGGTGATGCCAGTGCTGCTAAGGGAGCCATTGAAGTGAAAGCCATCACCCCAAGCACCTTCACCTTGGACAATGGAGAGCGAGCGTGCCAGATCCTGGTCATTCGCCCCATGAAGACTGGTGGTTTACGTTTTGGAGTTGTGATGACTGCGTGGCGGGGTGGCAAAGACAAAAAGAAATCAAAGAACTATCTTTGGGCAGAGAGATCCCTTCCGAAGTATGCTGCTACAAAGCTGCATTTGAAGATCTTGAAGCCCATGAATGTTCAAGATGAGAACAGGAGCGAGCTGCTGACAGCGAATGCCGCCTCTGCCATGGTCGCCATAGATCCTGCAGATGAGGATTCCGTGATTATGGAAATCCCTGCCACATGCTTCAAGTACGACTTCACACCTGAACAGCTGGAAGTCTGGCTTTCCAGAGCATCGGTGAAGGCCATCGCCAAGTCAGTGCCCTTTCACGCAAAGACCAAGAAGGCCATGGAAGAGCCGATGCAGAAAACCTTCTTCACGGAAAGCGACTTTCAGCGCGGCCAGGCTTTAGCGGCCAGGCTGGCAACCGCAACCTCAGCAAGTACATGATCCAAATGAGAAGGGACTTCGAGACTCATTTCTATGACTTTGTCTCCGAGACAGGCCAGGTGAAGCTGAGAAAGGACATCAAGGTCACCTGGAACGAGCTGCTTGCACGAGCTCCTTCCTATTTCAAACGTTATCTCCGTGGGAGTGGCCATTGGAAGGAGATGTCCAAAGAGCAGCAGCAGTTGACGTTTCTTTCATTTGGCAAAGTTCTTTTTGATTTTTTATAATTGTGTATTTATTCTAGATGTGTAGGGGTTGCTGCATAGGTATGGAATAATTTTCAGTAGATTTCACAGTTCTTAGGAAGATTTGGAAAGGGGCCAACAAACATGCGCACCTAAATTATGCACAGGGTACTTGACAAGTGCCCAACCTGTTGAATATTTAGATATATCACCATTTGGTCATAGAAAACAGCTATCGTTGCCCGGCCTGCTATAGGTATGGGCGATTGGTGCAATTGGAACTACAGAGCGTTTCACCCACCTTGGGAGATGATCCCAAGCGATTCTTGAGATGGCTAATCAAACTGTACAGGGAGAGTGATGCGCCATTGGTAGCAGAAGTTGCAGGGGGCGAGAATTAGTTCATTCTTGTTTTCACTTTTGAGGTCCTGGTTTTTTGTTTTGATTATTGTTTGATGGATTTCGTGTATTTGGCGAGACAGATTTTTGAATGTCTGAATGTTTTGTTTGGATCCGGTGCCCTAGCAACAGAGAGTGCAGATTTTTGAATGTTTGGCGAGGCAATAGCGTGCCGTCTATAGGTTCGCCTGTGGGATTGTTGCCTCGAGATGCTTGGTTTTAGGTCACTGTGATCGCCAGATGTTAGATGATTTGGACGCAGACCCAAAACGGGTCACAACTTCTACCAAAAGAGGGGGTTGGGAGAAACTTTGCACTCTGTCCGTCATGTTTTTGCGCAGAAATGCTTCTTTTGGTGATTTTGTTTGAATCATTGTGAATCTCTTTGAAGATAAGACACTTCAGTCTGTGACAAGCTCAAATCAAATCAGAAATTCTTTACGGCCACGTCCCATACGTTTGCCTCTCTCTTTTTGTTCTGCTGTACGCCCGCTCGCCTATCTGTGAGGGATGGTTCCTTTTTGACACAGCCTTTGAAGACAGGACACTTCAGTTCATGACTCAAACCAGAAATTCTTGCGTCCACGCCCCACGTGTTTTCCTCTCTCTTGGTTTTCTCCTGTGTACTCACTCGCCTATCTGTCAGGGGTTGCTTGTTTTGACGCAGCCTTTGAAAAAGAGCACTTCAGTGTGTGACAATCTCAAAACAGAAATTCTTGCGCCCACGTCCTACATGTTTTCTTATCTTTGTTTGTTCTGCCGTGCTCTCGATCCCCTATCTGTGAGGGATGGTTCCTTTTGGGCACAGCCTTTGAAAACAGAACACTTCAGTGTGCGTCAATCTCGAATCAGAAATTGTTACGCCAACGTTGCCTGCTTTTCTGATCTTCATTTTTTGATGTAGACTTTCTTGTCTGTCTTTAATAAAAGATGGCTTTTTGACAGGCTCTGTGAATCTGACGCGTTTTGGTTGGTTGAAAATAATTGAAAACGTGTTTCAAATCTTGCCACTCTGAAGTTCAGACATTCTATTGGCGAGACATTGTTTTTTACAAACCCTCTATACATATGTGTAATTTTCCAGACATTAGAAACTCTAGCTGACATCCAGATATATAGTTTTTTTACCTATTTATGCAAAATCTATTGAATATTACCCATCGAACGTTGACATACTGGAATAATTTTTGAAAATGATGTGGAAGGGGTCCTGAATAATATCTAAATTATTCTCAGGTATGTGGACATGGGGGTCCCTTCAAGGCACCAGCCATTATCACTGTGCAGCAGCTTTCCTCTCTGCCTCGTTGCAGCAAGTGGTCCACGGCCTCAGGTGCGACCACGGCTGAGTGACATTCCTGCTTGGCCACTCCGACAGATTTTCAGGGTCCTCGCCCAATGCAGTTGACATGCCCAGTGGCCTCACACTGTGGCCCCTCGCAGACGACCCGCACATAACGCAAGAGGGTTTTATCTTGCATAGATCCAACTCCGAAATCCGGGCCAAGGTTTATCGTTTCTTGCCACAGCGGGAAACCCGAGCAATGTGGCTCCGAGCGTTCGTGAGCACCTGGCATGGCAGTGCGAGGATGGCAGCCCAATTCAAATCTTTAACTTCCACTCGCTCGCACCTTACTGCAAGCATGCCGCCTCCGGCTGAGCGCAGGGCTGCTAATCACATCTCGCCGCAGCAGACCAGGCTGGGCGACCTCAGGTTGGGGGTGAGCGAAACAACCGTTCTCACGCAGGGGCAGGAGGAGTCTTCCCATCACCCCTTCCCGAGTCTTATCCAAGATGCAATGCGCAAGTAAAGACTATCAGGCAAGAGGCCCTCACACAAGCAGCCACTTCTCGAGCAATCCCTGAGGGTCTGTTTCCCAGGGAGTGGGCACCTAGCAAATCCCCAAGCAGAAGAACAGGCGCAGCTCTTATGGGCTCTGTCTGACCATGCTGTACGGAGGTACCGCAAGATGCCCTCCACTCAACCCAAGCCGCCTGCACCAGTCAAGAAGCGAACGGATTTTTTTTGCACGAGTGGAGGCGCTGTGTGTGCAGGTTTTGCACAAGTCACCTTGGTCGAGTTAAGATCGAGAAACAAGCAAGGTTGCAAGGCAAACAGAAACAACAAACAAAAACCAACCCAACAAACAAACAACCAGCAAGAACCAAACAGTCAAGAAGCGAACGGATGGAGAAGTGCGTTTTGCCTCGCCCCCCGATGAAGACAAAGGGCTTCCCTGCCCCCCGACAATGGCCAAGTCGGTAGCAGCACCACCAAAGGTGACGGTTTTGTTGATGTGTCCGCGCATGTCCGGTTGGGGTCCTGGACATCCAGGTTAACTTCCATCATGAAGGTGGTCTCATGAACGTGTACTTGCTGCACTTTTTTGCACTAGCTGAAAAACATGGAAAATGTGCAGCAGTGGTCCCAGGCTGGATGGATGGTTTTGCCCCTACCGGTCCAACAGCGCATGGTGCTTCCGCTTACCACAGTGCATGCAGATCTTAATGGCGACGCTTTTTCAACCACAAAAAACAGCCTATGTCTTTTTGGATTGTGGAGGATTGTTGAGGTATGCTGCTCAGGGGAAGCAACGCTGCCTTTTTGCACTTCCAGTCCCACGAGCCATTGACCGGCAGACCTAGAGGCGGCCTGCAGCCGCGTTGGCTCCCAGCCGCAGTCACTTCTCCAGAAGCCTGTGCACGCAAGTGCATTCCACCCGTGTGGAAGGTACCTTGAGCAGTGGTAACTTCATGGTCTGGCCTTTTGTCACTGTGTTACTGGTAGTTTCCTGAGTCAACCGGCCAAGGCAGCCAACCCGTGTTGGTGGCCTCCGCCTTGACGTCTAGAGCACCTTGTCCGCTGTCCTCATGACACATTATGTGGATGCCATGGGCGATAAGTGACCATGGTGATGATGTCGACATGGGTGATGACTTGGACATCATGGATGTGTCCGAGGATGAGCATGTCCGTGCTGTTCCCTACCAACACTCCAGTCCAGGATGGATCACCCTAACAGCAATTGAGCTGCTAAAGATCTTTCTACTTGACCCCGAGCTTCTTGACCTCTTGCGCAGATGTGTGCCAGAGCAGGGGATCTCATCGATGGCAGAAGCCCAAGCGCTACCATTGCGCAACTTCCGGGCAGGTGGCAGCCAACCACAAGTGCACATGCGCAATGGCTCACAGAGGTCACACGAGCCCTGTTTAAGCCAATCCCTTTCCGAGAAGTCTTTGTCATCTCAGCTCTCTTCTCACCGCAGCTGACCTTTGCAAAGGGTGCTAAACTGGATGGCAAACTCTGGTACAGCCCAGCCATCAGTCCTGATGAGTCAATGATCCGGCCTTCAGGGCATGCATGAATATAAAAGTGCCTTTGCAACGCACTCGAGAACTGAGGGCTTTTGCTGAATTCACTGCTCCCGTTTCACTCTTTCATGCCTACCTGGCACCTCGAGTTGCACTACAGGTTGCTTCCCTTCTTTGTTTGTGTTGGTTTTGTTTGTGTTGGGTTTTTTGGGGGCTTGTCGTGTTGTTTCTTCCCCTGATTGGTTGCAACCTGGCTTGTAACTCTCTTGACACTCGACTAAGGTGACTTGCGCACAACCTGCACACACAGCGCCCCACTCGTGCAAAAAAAAACCTTTGCAACGTACTCGAGAGCTGCGGCCTTTGTTTCTCCGGGCAACCAGCCCGCAGCTTTGAGTCGCGTTGGAGGGTATACCGACTAGTGCTCGGAGAAGATCGCAGAGTGTACGCGCTCCTGATGCTCCTCGAATGCGACACTCAACCCAAGAAGAGGTCCAGGCAAGGCTCCAATGAATCAAAGGAGGAGTTAGCAGTTCGGCAGAGCAGCCCAAGGTCATGGACGGTAGCTTTCTGAAGGATGACATCTATGAGCTGGAGCAGAAGGACACCTGCATGTGGTCCCATCTTTCCGTAGCCCCTTTGGCTCAAGTTTTCGGTTCAAACCCATCTAATAGATGGGCAGGAGGTTCAAGGAACTCTCTTAAAGAGAAGAGACTTCCTCAATAGCTTTGTTGGAACCCCTCTTAGCTGCTTAGTGGCCTGTGTTTGCACCTCACAAAGCCTTAGCGGTATCCCAAGATACTGCTATTTTTTTGACTTGCTAGTTGGCTCTTCGTTGTCTGGTGTTCTTTGCCCAGCCTGGATAGCAATCCAAATTGTTTTATTTAATTGATTGTCTGTGGCTTCTTCGGCTGTTCGTTGTCGCTATGTTAGATAAAGAAGCCTTCTGTCTTGTCGCACAAGCTATCTATGTCGGTCCGAGCTGAGGCCGGTACCCAACCCAAGTTGGGGGCTCGCCATTCGAACGCAGTCCGTCTGTGCAAGTCGGTCTCAAGAGCTCCTCCTTAGCAGGCCCAGGCAAGTATGCTGATTCGTAATGTTAGATAAGGAAGCCCTTTGTCTCAATCTTTAGTAATTTTGGTCTATTTGGCGATGAAAGGTCTCATTGAAACGCCCGGTCTGCCAAAGCAGACCGCCGCAGAGGACTTGCAAGACTCTATTTTTTGAGCGTGCTGTACCTAAGCCATTCCTGTTTGCGGGTGGGAGGGCTGCAGGAAAACAGGACAACCCATGCCGTGACACTCAAGTTTCGTCTTGCGAAGGCCCTCCCTTTAGAGACCCAGAGTTTCAGTGAGCCTAAAGCAGATTGTTGCAGAGCATGATCCAGAAGCATAGGTTCGTCGTTCTATTAATCTTGACGCTCTCGCTTTTGAATAATTGGAGATGAAGGGTCCCCAGATGCAAAATTCAGTCGTGAAAACGTACTTTCACCAGCCATTCACCAGCCATCCAGAAGCGCAAATTTGCCGTTCCATCAATCTAAAGGCTTTTGTTTTTGTCTATTTGGGAACGAATTTGGACATTTGAAACCTTTAGCCTTCAGCTGCGGCAAAGGCGGTGTTGACAAAGCAAGTGCAGACTTCTCAATTGCAACTTCGCTTCTTAAGGGCCAAGGCAAAAGGGAGCGTC